TGGGAGCCAAAATATGACCTTGAATATATCACACCTGAATTTAGAGACCTTCTCAAGAACAGATTTGATGCATTAGACATGATGATAGAGGGCAAGATGTGTGGGAAGATATCAAGAGCATCATACAGGAGAAAAGTAAAAGATCATTTAAAAAATAAAAAGCCTAAGAAAAGACCAAATGGATGTCAGAAGAGTCTATGAAACTTGCTCTTGAGCATAGAGAAGCAAAAGGGAAAGTAAGAAATGAGGAATTAAAAGTTGAACAGAAAATTTCAAGGGTTAACAGGAGAAAAAAAAATCAAGTATTATAGTGAAATGTGCAAAGATCTGGAGTTGCAAAAACAAAAGGAAAGAAAATGCTCACCACTTTTCAAGCTGAAAGAACTGAAGAAAAGAATTCAAGCCTGGACTTGTAATATTGAAGGATTCTGTGGGTTGGAACCAATTCGACGGCACTTAACAAAAACAATGGGCAAAATATTGAATGATGCAGAAAACATCAAAGAAGATAGAAGGTATACATAGTCACTGTACCAAAAAGAAATGATCCTTCTTTAATCATTTTAAGCGGCAGCAAATGATCAAGGACTGATGATACTGAAGGAAGGAGTCCAAACTTCAGTGAAGATATTAATGAAAAATAAGGCTCTAGGAATTAACCAATACAAATAGAAATATTTCAGAAAACTAATGCAGCAGTGGCGGTATTCACTCAGCTATGCCAAGATATTGAGAAGAGAGCTACCTGGCCAACTGATTGGAAGAGAGTCATATCTTTGGCCATTTCTAAGACAGTTGCACCAACCAAATTCAGAAATCATTGAATGATATCATTAATATCACATGCTAGCCAAATTTTGCTTAAGATGATTCAAAAACTGTTGCAACTAACTTCAACAGGGAACCTCCAGAAATTCAAGTCTGTTTCAGAAGAGGATATTGAACTAGAGATATCACTGCTGATGTCAAATGAATCTTGGCTAACAGCAGAGAATACCAGAAGGATGTTTACTTATGCTTTATTGTTAACTTTGTAAAGGCTTTTGACTGTATAGATTATGACAACTATGGATAATATTATGAAGAATGGGTATTCCAGAATACTTAACTGTCCTCAGTGGTGGTGGTGGTGGTGGTTATGTGCCATGGAGTCAGTTCTGACTCATAGAGACCTTGTATAGGATTTCCGAGGCTGTAAATCTTTACAGGACCAGAAAGCCTCATCTATCTCCCTCGGGATGGCTGGTAGCTTCAAATTGCTGACCTTGAAGATAGCAGCCCAACTCATAACCACTACGCTACCAAAACCTCTTAATTGTGCTCAGTTGTTGTTGTTAAGTGCCATCAAGTCAGTTCCAATCCATAGCAACCCTGTATAAAGTTTCTGAGGAGCATCTGGTAGGCTTGAACCGCCGACCTTGCAGTTCAAATGGCTTTACAGTCTGGCGCATTAACTCATAGTACCACACCAGGACTCAGTAGGAATTTGTATATAGATCAAAAGGTCACTGTTGGAACAGAACAAGGGGATACTGAATGGTTTAAACTCTGGAAGGCTTTGTGCCAGGCTAGCATCCTTTAACCATACTCAATCTGTATGCTGAGTAAATAATCAGAGAAGCTGGATTATACAAAAAAGACAATGGCATCAGAATTGAAGGAAAAGTCATTAACAACCTATAGTATGCAGATGATACAGCAGTCCTTGCTGGATGCCAAGAGAACTTAAAATACTGATGAAGACTAATGGCAACAATCTTAAGTATGGATTGCAACTCAATATCAAAGACTTCATTTTGCTGGCATCCATAATCAGCACTTTCAGAAGCAGCAGTCAAAACATTAAGTGACATGTTGCATTACGCAAGTCTGATGCAAGAAACCTCTTTAAAGTGTTCGAGAGTAAAGAAGTAAATTTGAGGACTAAGTTTCACTTGACCCAAGCCATAGTATTTCAATTGTCTCATCTGCATGTGAACAATAAATAATGAATAAAGAAGACAGCAGAAGAATCGCTTAATTTGAATCATGATTTTGGAGAAGAATATTTAAAGTACCAAGTACTGCCAGAATAACAATCAAATATTCCTTAGAAACCGGGATGGTGGGACTTCATTTCTCATGCTTTGAACATGTTATTAGGAGGGACCAGTCCCTGGAGGATATCATATGCTTAGGAAAATGAATGGTCAGCCAAAAAGAGAAAGACCCTCAAAGAGGTGAATGGACACAGTTGCAGCAACACTGGCCTCAAATGTAACACTCATGAAGGTGGTCCAGGACTGGTTAGTGTTTCATTTATTTGTGTATAGGGTTGTTATGAGTTGGAACTGACTTGATGGCACCTAAAAACAACAACACTAAATGTATTGAGAGCACATTCAACGACACTGTTGTTGTTAAGTGCCATTGAGTCAGTTCAGACTCATAACGACCCTGTATAGGGTTTCCAAAATGTTGCTGCTGGTGAGTTTGAACTACCAACATTGTAGTTCAAACCAACCTTGCAGCCCAGTGCTTATCCTACACGCTATGCTAGTTCAAAGACACTGCTATTGCTGGTTAGTGCTGAAGAGTCAGTTCTGACTCACAGAGACACTATCTAAGCTTTCTGAGTAATAGTTGACCTTGTGTTTCAAACCTAACTTTTGGTCTAGTGAATTATCCTGTAGCACCACACCAGGACTCCTCAAAGATACTGTTATTGTTAAGTGCCGTCGAGTCAATTCTGACCCATAGCAACCCTGTATAGGGTTTCTGAGTAGCAGCTGGTGAGCTTGAACCACCAACCTTGCAGTTCAAACGGCTTTGCAGTCTGGCGCATTAACCAACAGCACCACACCAGGACTCAAAGACACTAGGGAGATGTAAATTGACATAAACTGCCATTTTTCCTTTATCATTTGGCTGAAAATCATAAATGACTGATAGAAACCTGTGTTAGTAAGCGTGGGGGTGGGGAGGCTATTTTGTAGGTGAATTCAAGAGTAACTATCAAAATATGAATTTTACTTACCCTTAAACAACATAATTCTACTTCTAGGAATCTATGTAACATAAAAATTTGTTCAAATATATAAAACTTATATCATGATGTTTACTGTTGCATTAAACTTATGAGTTAAAAATGGAAAACTATTAACTATATAGAAATCAGGAAACAGTAGAGTTATGATGGTGTGTTGAGTACTGGCCTATTTTTTCAGATCCATTCCACCTCTTCCCCTGCACTCTCTTGAAGACTTGTTTTCATCGGCTCCTTTCTAGACTGGTTTTTCACTCTCATAGGCCAATGAGAGATTGCTGAGCAGGAAGAAGGGAAAATCCACTGCATTTTTGTTACTTTCCTTCGCTAACTTGGGTATTGTTTATGACAGTAATTGGGTCTGCCCCATGGTCTTTGCTTCTGAACTAGATTCCTTTACCTTTAAAGGTTGTGCAAATAGTCATTTGGATGAAGAAGACAAAGCAATCTCCATCCATGAAGATTACAGTCTTGGAATCCTATATGATGTTTTTGCGTAGCCTAGTCAAAGGACTCCTGGTGATGTAATGGTTAAACCCTTGGCTGTTAACTGAAAAGTTAGTGGTTTGAACGCACCAGTTGTTCCATGGGAGAAATATGTGGCAGTTGGCTTCCAGAAAGATTATTTCCTTGAACCTATGGATAAAGTCTGGCCAAATTATCAGCTAATATAAAACATCATAGCATACAACATGCATACAATTGTACTACTGTTTTTATTAGGTTCTGAATGTTTAATCCCTTTGAGGTCACTATGAAGTTTTGAGTACTGTATCCTACCATTACTCTTTTCTCTATGAACCTTTGTCTTTGATTGCACAGTTTTACTTAGTATGATGATTTTTAGGAACACATAGCAGCACTGACAACATCCACCAAATGTTAATAGTGTCTCTAGGTCGCAATTTACTTGTAACTTATCTATAGTGTTTAAATTTTTTTTTTTAATCATGCATTCACAGTTTAATTAAATGTACAAATACATTTTTAAAGGATGAGGTGATGTCTAAAAACCACTACAGCTCCTTTGAATGGAATGTTGAAACTATTCTAATACAGGCCCACTGACCATGTAATTACAAATGTCCTCTGTTTACTCCTTGAAAACAGAGCTAAGATTTCACTGCAACATCTTGCCACCTTCTTTAATCAGATAGTCCCCACAAGTAAAAGGAATGATTGATTACCTATTACTAGTCCAAATTCCTATTATTATTACAATAAAAAGCCAAATTCTCCTATTGCTTGAATTGAAAACATTCAGATATTAGCATGATTCAGGACTAGAAATATATAGGCAATAATTAGCATTATATTCAGTGCTTACTCACTTTCAAGCTAAATATTAATAAATGGGATTGAATAACTTTAAGGAACTACAACTCTGTGGAAAAACTAAAAAATGAAACACAATGTGAAATTTGAAAGGAAGAAAAAGTGAACTTCCCTTGTGTAATTTGACTCTTGAGGTTCTGCCCACTTTTTCCAAATGTACTTTCACCTGTGTTAACACATTTTCCTTTTTTTACAAATCAGTATCCCTTCCCTCCTTGTTCCTTGTCTCTTTTCTTCTTCGCTTCCTTTAAAAAAAAAAATGAAGTGCTCTATACTGGGGTCACTGTAAGTCAGAATCAACTCAAAGGAACTTAAGAACAACATATTGCTTTATCTGCAATCAAGCTGCAATGTTGGGGCTTACCTAGGTAAACAACCCCTTCCCCCTGGTCCCAGGTGCCTGGTGCTGGGACAGTACCCGCCCACTGAACTCTGAACTAACTGGTCCTTGATCCCTGTATTTCCCTGTCCAGCTACACACAATCTGGTGTTGACTGGGCTCTCTATGGAGCTTTGCTTCTAGCTGCTCTCTGACAAAGAACGTGTTCTGTACTACACATCTCTTCCTCTTTGTTCTGCCTCTGGCTGCAACCACTGGAATCACAAATATTCTCCAGCTGGGAATCAGACAAGGGCCGAGATGAAGAACTCCGGAGTCCAGCAGGATGTTTCTATTTCCCAGGGAGTCCGCGCGATGTTTTACTTGATGAAGCCCAATGAAACATCCTTTCAAACCTTAGAAGAGGTGCCCAATTATGTAGAAAAGGTGAGAATATGTGGGAAGAAGCTATTCTAGCTCTTATCTTAGTAAGAAGTAATTCGTAAACATTCTACGATTTTATTCACTTTCATTTTTCAAATTATTAAATGTCTGGACCCTATAGCATTGTAATTTACCTATTTGTAGTCCTATGTCAAATGACGTGAGTAAATTTTATTAAAAATTCTTGTTTTAAAAAAGAAATATGTACACCACCTTGCAGCAATAAACCATTTCCTTTTAAATTGGTACAGTCTTTGCAGAGTAAAGGAGCCTCACTGAATGGGTCCAAATCTCACTGCAAGTTTGAACTTGAGCCAAATTGTCTTTGAAATCAGGAACTGTTCACATCTAGTTGCTAGCTATGATTGGAAGTGGTAATATACAGAACTTGAATACTGGAATTCCCCACCCTGCTAAAGGTGTTCCCAAAGTACTTATTAGATCAGGCCAGAAATAGGAGTGGGGAGAGAGGTGATATCAGTGAAACTGTTCTTGAGAGTTCATTTTCAGAACCTTAAAACTCAAGATCAAGTTCCAAATGAGTGTCATCCATATATTTTTCAGGATCTGACAATGCTCATTCTTTTGATTTTCTAAAGAAAAATGAAAAAAAAAAAATGGATACTCACATTTTTATAAATCATTGTTATTTTTGTTGTTAAATGCTGTAGAGTCTTTTAGGCTCACAGCAACCCTGTACAGGGTTTCTGAGAAGCAGCTGATGGGTTTGAACTGCCAACCTTGTGGTTCACAGTACAGTGCTGATCCTACAACGTCACACCTGGAGTCCTTATAAGTCATTACTTACATTAAAATAAACCTAAATTGATGCTATGTCATGAATACTGATGCCTTAAAGATACTTAACAATTAAGACAAAGTTCTAACTGAATGAATCAAGTATGACTGGTGTTAAGTTGAAATTTACTCCATGATGATGTTTTTATTTTTATGAATGTTTAAAACACACATTTTGAATTATCTTATTCTCTGGAATACTCACTGGAAAATTCTTTGCTGTTACAGTTTAACTTTCCTCATTGAATATAATTTAGGTACTTCTCACTGGAGTCCTGGTGTGGCACTCTAAGTTAATGCACCAGACTGTAAAACCATTTGAATTTCAAGGTCAGTGGTTCAAACTCACCAGTGGCTCCTCAGAAACCCTATACAGGGTCACTATGGGTCAGAATCAACTCGACGGCATTTAACAACAACAATATATGAAAAACTAGGGTTGTATACATTCATAAGGAAAACCTCTTGAAGTGGTTTCAAATGAGTTATATATAGATTTCTGATTATTAAAATTAAAAACAAATTTTGATTCTAACTTGAAGCACGTACTTCCTAATATTAGTAATTTCTTGGCACAATTATGGCCATACCTATGGTTACATTTCATTTTCATATTTGATGATCTAATTGGGGCACCTGTATAGTGTGTATATTAAATAATCTAATCTTTTTCCCCATTGGACAGAAATGAGCCTTAGAATAGGTATATGCTATCTTCTGCTATGTGATTTGATTCTGTACTTCCCATTTCTGAAATGACTAATCAGGAAATGTAGAAGAATTTCATACCAAGTAGAATAATATCTCTTCTTTACAATTTCCTTTCTAGGCAACTCCATTGTTCATTTCTTTGATGATACTTGAATTGATTATCAGCTGGCTTCACAAGGGAAAATTACCAGGTCGTCTGGATGATGTCTTAGCATCTCTATCTGCTGGTGTTCTATCTCAGCTTCCAAGGTGAATTAGATGGTTAGCAACACTAAGGGTACAAACTGAACTTCTCCAAGTATGAGGGAAAAGAAACTCATTGCATCAGAAATGAGTGTATTTAAATATATATCCCCAAAGAATTCAGGTGCTGACTTTATTTAGAATTTAAAATATTTGTTCATCATGGACTTTTTGCACTCGGTCATAAAAATAATGCCCTAAATATTATTTATTTTTGATTACCAAGTTTATTGACATCTCCTTAAATTTTCTGCTCCGTTGCTATATACTAGTCCCAGCCCTGAGTGATAATTTGTTATCTGTCTCAGCCAGATTCACACAGGGTTTCAGCCTTTCCCCGGTGCACATCACACAAATCTCTCTGGTACTATAGTGGTCTCCTAATTGCAGTCTCCAGTCTTCACTCATTTTCAGTCAAACAATTCTATAAAGTGAATCTGGTGAAACCTGTCAACAGTTTCATATTGCCCTGAGTATAATGCACACTTTTCAGATCAACAGAGGCTTGCTTGCTCCAGCTTTAGCTTTGATTCCTCCTCTCATTTTCCTCCTTTGCAGTTTTTGTTCCATCTATAGTCTACTATGTGTCATTGTCCAGATTCTTATGCCTTTCTTACTCCTGGAAATCCATCCATATAGCCATGATTGATTAATTTCTTAGGTCCAAGCACAGACAAGTGTTCTAGTGTGGTGCTTTTGGATAAGCACTGGACAGTTAACCCAAAAGGTCAGCTGTTCAAACCTACCAGATGCTCCTTGGTAACACTTTACATAGGATCTGTATGAGTTGCAACCAACTTGACAACACTTAAAAACAAAACACAGACATCATACTCTTTAGCAAGCCCTATCTGGTCTCCACACCCTATGTAGGCACCTCTTTTCTATACTCCCATGGAAATTGATGCTTACTCTAGATACAGCAAATGTCACATGACACTATGCTGTCCTTCCTTTAACTTGTGTGCAACTTGAGAGCAAGAGGTTTTCTGTATTCATAGTTTTAACTCCTGTATCTCAAATAATGCCTGGTACATGGTTGTTCTTGTTAAGTGCCCTTGAGTTGGTTCTGACTCATTGTGACCCTGTGTAGGGTTTCCAAGGAGCAGCTTGTGGGTTTGAACTACTAACCTATGGTTATCAGTCCAGTGTTTATCCTGCAACACCATGCCAGGACTCCTGGTACATGGTTTGTTGTTGTTATTAAGTGCCATCAAGTCAGTTCCGACCCATAGAGACCCTGCATAGGGTTTCCAAGGAGCAGCTGGTGAGCTTGAACCACCAACCTAGTGGTTCAAACCGACTTTGCAGTACAGCACATTAACTCACAGTACCACACCAAGACTCTCAAAATATATATATAAAAAACAAATATTTAATGTTCTTAGAATGTTACATTGATGATAGAATTGGATGATAAAGAAGTTAAAAATAAGACCATTTGCTGTTGAATTGATTCTAATCAATAGCAACCCTATAAAACAGAGTAAAATTGTCCCATTGGCTTAAGCTTTGGCCTACGAGTCACACAGTTAGCAGTTACAAGCCACCAACTGCTCTAAGGAAGAAGGATGAGATTGGCTGCTCCTGTGAAGATTTATAGTCTCAGAAGATCTTAGGAGCAGTTCTACTCTGTTCTTCAGGGTCGCGATGAGTCAGAATCAGCGCAACATTGTTGTTGTGAAGTGCCGTTGAGTCGGTTCCCACCCATAGTGACCCTGTATAGGGTTTCCAAGGAGTAGCTGGTGAGCTTGAACTGCCGACCTTGCAGTTCAAATGGCTTTGCAGTCTGGTGCGTTAACCCACAGCACCACACCAGGACTCAACTCGACCTTATTGGGTGGGTAATCTTTTTGGATCAGACAGCTCCCTCTTTCTCCCATAATTGGTGGGTTCAAGCCCTTGAACCTTTGTTTAGCAGTCTTTAATTTAACCTTTGCCACTATGGCTCCTTAACCAAATAATGATAAACAATAAATGATCTACTTCTCTTTGGAAAGAGTAAATGGAAATGTATGTAGATGACAAACCAATGCATGGAGGGTGTCTTCAATACATGAAGATTTAGCAAAGAAGCAGAGGGTGAGAAAGATTTCTGTATAAGTCTGTGCATGCCTTGTTTAATGTTTTCATTCCTGCTTCTCACCCCTTGCTTCTTTCACTGTTTTAAAAGCTTTACTTGTGTTGAGTGCTCAGTGCTTTGGAATGTTTCAATGAATCACCCACTGGGAACCAATGTGGATTTTTAAAAATGTAATGAAAACAAAGATGTTTGAGAAAAGGTAAAAAAAAAAAAAAATGCATGTAGTTGCATAAAATAATTAAGGTAAATGTTATTGTGAGAAAGGCAGCTTATTAGGTATATTACAAATAATAATAATAGCTTTCTGAAAAACGACTTGAATGTTTTCATATTGTGATCATCACCAGTAGCTTTTAGTAGCTGTCAAGTAGATTCTGAATCTTGGTGACCCTATGTGTGTGAAGCAGAACTATGCTTCATAGGATTTTCAAAACTGTGACCGTTCAAAAGCAGATCTACAGGTTTGTCTTGCGAGGTTCCTCTGGGTGGGCTTGTACTTCCAGTCTTTAAGCTGGTATTGTTGTCTTTATTAGGTGCCTTTGAGTCCGTTCTGACTCATAACAGCCCTATCCACTCTTCAGTCCTGTACTATCCTCATTATTATTTTGTTTGAACCCATTTGCTGCCACTGTGTCAATCCATCTTGTTGGTGGGGGGTAAGGGTCTTCCTCTTTTTTTGTTGACCCTCCACTTTACTGAGCATGATGTCCTTCTCCAGGGACTGATCCCTTTGGGCATCATGTCCAAAGAACAAGAGACGAAGTCTTGCCATATTGGCTTGTAAGAAGCATTAGGCTAGAAGTTGAGCATCTAACTGTGATCAACGGTTGATAATATTTGCAGCTATTACCATTATCCTAATTAAGAATTTACAGTAATATGCCATTTCCTCTATTCCATATCGCCATTGAACAAAACAAAAAATGCATTCAACTTACTCAACAGACATGTAGATTTGCTTATTGAAAAATACCCGTAGGGTGACTGCACTTTATTCTGAGAAAGTTAAGTGTATGTTATTGTTGTTAAGTACCACTGTGTCAGTTCTGACTCAGTGACCCTGTATAGGATTTCCTATGTTGTGACAGTTGGGTTTGAACCACCAACCTTGTGGTTGGAAATCTGATGCTTATCCTCCAGTGTATAGGTTTATAGAAAGTGGAATGCTTGATGATTTGTGAAAGTAAGTTGATAACTAAGGGATGCTCTTCAGATGCAATTATAGATCATATATTTTTGCTGAGTTGGAATTATAAATCAAGAAGACAGAAAGTTGAGTGAATGTTTCAGCATATCTTGTACTTTTTCAAATTTAATTTTGGATATAAGTAAATTTATTTTTTTCTCTTATTGCAATATTGTAGCTATTAAAAGTACAAACTGTATCCCTAGTGCAATATTTCTGCTCAGCAGCATGATGAAAAGGTATTAGGTTTTACCAGGACAAACAATAGTCAAATATGTATATTTGCAAAAATAATACAAAAGAGGGAGAGAGAAACCAAAACAAACCAGTCCTTCAGGGATAGTACATGCAGTTCTTTTTCCTTCACATCCTACTACCCATAACACTCCTTAAGCTAACACAGACTGTTCATTTGGTGCCCTGTGAGAGAAAGGTCAAAGGTTATGAACTTGAATTTGGAGGCTATTGTTTTATAGTTGGTGTTTTGAACAAAAAGAGCAGATTGCATTTTAAAATGTGGTAGGCCTGAGCCGTGGTCCACATAGGACAGTTGTCAGTTTTGCAAGAGATTTTATGTTTCATATTTCTCAGGAAGATCTCAGTAAAGAATATTTCTGAAAATAAAAACTTGAAATCTTGTATATACTTTTGCTATTGAACAAAATATAAGCAGAGAAGGAAAGCTGATCTTCAGGAGTTACTCAACTCAGTCAGTCCCCTTTCAGCAAGAAAAGAGAAGGGGGATTTGACTGAAACTCTTAAAACAGTATTTCAGTAGAAGCCACAGCATGGAGGGGAATCCTCAAGCAAATCATTAACAGCTGAGGGTTAGATTAACACGGCATTGATCTTATTGTCTCTGAGGGACTCATTTCATTTTTTACACTAGCATTAGAGGCCTTCCACTTCCTTAAAATGTATGTTTGCATAAAAAATGGCCGTGTGCCTTTTCTGAATCTGTTTGTGAAGAATTATGCTTTGAATAATAATTTTTAAATGGCATGTGACCTCTGAGAAAAGAAGTTGCAGAAATCAAAGTGAAACCTTGAACATGTTTTTCCACTTCATTCATGTATTGAGAGTGTTGTATACAGACTTTGAGGAAAAAGAGTTTATTTGGTGATCTCAGTTTCATTGTGACATAAAATTAGAAGCATCTGAAACATTAGTAACATGCTTACCACTACTGATACGAAAGCAGGACTTGGGAAGCACACCCCCAGCCCCTGCTGACAATTTGCGTTAGCACTGTAGATATAATGAATCGGAACCTACATTTTAACAGGATTTCCAGGTAATTCTTATTGAATATAGATTCACAGAAGAATCACCTGAAAATCGAGATAAAACATAGCTTCTAACTCAGTGTGCTTGGGGGTTTCAACACGTTTATGGAAAAGTGGGATTAAAAGATAATGGGATGTTTTCTGGAACTTTTTGAAGCCCCCTTGTATCTGGGGTGGAAATGGAAATTCTCAGCAGGAGATTGAACTGGAGTGAACTAGTTTGAAGCCCTGCAAAAAAGATCCATTCTGAAACTTCAAATCTGTGTATAGGGGAAAATATTAATCACTAAGAAGATTTTATCTTGTTTACAGGACAAAGCAAGATGTGCAATAAAAATCCATATGGCCTAAGAACCAGATTCTGGGCAGGCTAGTATCTGTTTAGCGCTTGTAAAATTCAGTAGGCAGAAACTTGTCTCGATATTATACACAGGTATTTCTAGTTACTGAA